AAGCTCCACCATTTGAGACATCACTAACCTATAATAAATGGCTTAATTTATGTAAAAACAAAAAAATTTGCTGAAGGTAATTAAAGAAAACACAAGGTTGGGTGCTGTGGCTCACGCCTATAATCCCAGCACTTTGGGAGGCCAAAGTGAGAGGATTGCCTGAGCCCAGGGGTTCGAGAGTAGCCTGGGAAACTTGATATAGACCTCATCTCTACAATAAATCAAGAAAAATTAGCCAGGCACGGTGGCACATGCTTGTAGTTCCAGCTACCTGGAAGGCTGAGGTGGAAGGATTGCCTGAGCCCATCAGGTCGAGGCTGCAGAGGCCATGAGTGTGCTCCTGCCCTCCAGCCCGGGCAACAGAGTGAGACTGACTCAAAAAAAAAAAAAAGAAAGAAAAGGAAAAAGAAAACACAAATGAAGACATCTTGTGTTCATGAATTGAAATATTTAATATTGTTAAAATGTCAAAAACTACCCTAAGTGATCTACATAGTCGCAATTCTAACTTACTTCAAAGCTTCAGTAATCAGAACAACTTGGTACTGGATTAAAATAGACCTACAGACCAGTAGAATAGAATTGAGAGTCCAGATATTTTTAATTTATCGTAGAGATGAGGTCTCGCCGAGTTGCCCAGGCGGGTCTTGAACCCGCGGGTTCAGGCAATTCACTCACCTTGGCCTCCCAAAGCGCAGGATTACAGGCTGAGCCACCGAGCCTGGCCTCATTAAAAGTTTAAACAAAACATTACCATATGACCCAGCAAGTCCACTCCTAGATGTATGCCCAAAGGAACTGAAGACAGGTACTCAAACAAGTACATGTGTATCATGTTCATAGCAGCATTATTCACAATAGCCAAAAGGTGCAAACAGCTTAACTGTCCATCAATGAATGAAAGTTAAATTCTGGTATATCCTTATAATGGAATGTCATGCAGCCATGAAAAGGAAGTACATGCTACAATGTAGATGAACCCCCAAAGCATCATGCCAGGTGAAAGAAGCCAGATATGAAAAGTTACATACTGTATGATTCCATTTATAGTATGAAATACCCCAAATAGATAAATCCGTAGAGATAGAATACAATTGGTGATTGCCAGGGGCTGGAGGGAGGAAAAGATGAGGATAAACGCTTGATGGATAAGGGGTTTTACTTTGGAGTGATGGGAACATTTTGGAAATAGAGGTAGTGTTTGCATAACCTTGTGAAGGTACTAAATGCCACTGACTTGTTCTTTTGAGAATGGTTTGTTTTGTATTATATGAATTTCACCTCAATACATTATTAAATAAAATGAAGTTTTATTTAATAAAGAAGTTGCTGTGGAGTCTGGAGGAATAGGGAGCCCCCAACCTGAGTGCAAGGTCCCTCTCAGGTTTCTTCAGCACAACTTAGCTGAGGTACTGAAGGAGGTTACAGCTGTATAATCAGCAACCACTGATGTGTCATAGTCCTACACGGCATTTACACAAGTATGGTTTATGATTTGGGTAATTGTCTAAGCTGTTCCCAAACCTGAAGTTACTCATTATAAAGCTATAAAGGTGTTTCCTCTACTGACAGGTGTATTTTGTTCTAGAAGGGTTCAGAGTCCTTGCCTTTTTCTCCAGTTGGGTGTCAGTAGTACAGTGCAGGCAACTTTTATTTGCTTTCAAATCTTTTTTTTTTTTTGAGTTGGAGTCTCACTCTGTCGCCCAGACTGGAGTGCAGTGGCCGCTCCCGGCCACCGCAGCCTCGACCCGCTGGGCTCCAGAGATCCTTCCGCCTCAGCCTTCCAAGTAGCCGGAATTACAGGCATGTGCTACCATGCCTGGCTGATTTTTTGATTTATTGTAGAGATGAGGTCTCACTGCCCAGGAGGGTCTCGAACCTGTGGGCTCAGGCAATCCACTCACCTCAGCCTCCCAAAGGCACAGGATTACAGGCTGAGCTGCCTGGCTGCTTTCAAATCTTTTTCTTCACCTTTAAGTCCAGATTTTACTGGCTTTTAAAATATTTTCTTAAAGGGAAATCATATTTTTTATTTTATATTTCCTTCTAAAGAAAAACTCATCATTTCCCCCCCATAGTTCTTATATTGCAGAAAAAAAATCAAATTTAACAAGTTCAAAAAGTGCTCTCCCACCATTCTTACCCACAGAATTCACTTTTAATTCCTGTCTCAATAAAAGACTTTTATTTAATAAAACTGGCTCAGGCTAGCTAGAAAATCGAATCTCCATTGCCACCATCTTCTGATCCACACCAGTGACGTCTCCTGTCAATTGGAAGTTGCCAGCTCCAGTTAGTGGGCTGGTTTTTTTGTTTGTTTGTTTTTTAGTTGAAGTCTCACTCCTTTGCCCAGGTGGAGTACAGCGGCATACACATTCATGGCTACCCAAGCGTTGACCTGCTGGGCTCCGGCAATCCTTCTGCCTCAGCCTTCTGAGTAGCCAGAACTACAGGTCCACACTACCACGCCTGGCTATTTTTTATTTTATTGTAGAGACAAGGTCACGCCAAGTTGCCCAGGCTGGTCTGGAACCTACAGGCTCAGGCAGCCTACTCACCTCAGCCTCCCAAAGTGCTGGTATTACAGGCTGAGCCAGTGAGCCCAGCCAGTGGGCTGTTTTGTTTGATTTCCTGCAAGCTGCAAATGGTTCTGAAGTGTTCTTAAGGATTGTCTTTAAAACAACAATGGAGACCATATGACAGAGACCATACATAACACCTAACATAGGTCCTTTCCTGCCCTTCACAGAAAAGTCTTTCTGACTCCTGTCTGTGTAATTGTCACAGCCTTCTTTGTCCTTCCATGTTTGATCTCTTTTCCACACAACAAAAGAAGGCAAGAGGCTCCTGGGTCAGGGTGTGGGGGGTGGTGCAGAAAGCCTCAGGACATCCCTAGCGGGACTGAAGACTCCTCTCCAGACCTTGGCTGTCCCATTTGCCCTCATACCCCACCTCTCCATCACTCCTAGAAGCCCAGCAGCATGGATACCACATTGCCCAGACACCACCTGGAGCCAGGACTGGGGCTTCTGACTTGAGGAGCTGAGGCTTGTGGGAGACATGGGGAGGGCTCCTGCAGCCCCTGTGGAGGGGTAGCAACAGACCTGCTGAGTGGCAGCAGGACAGTAAAGAAAGGTACCCCCATCTATCTGCACATAGAGCTGTTCTGCAGGAAGAAGTCTGATTCCAGATGCCAGGATGCAAGGAGCTGCAGGGAGGCGTTCTGGCTAAAGGCACCACAGTACAGTGTATCTGGACCATAAGTGTTATGTGACTTAGCATGAAGTGTCATCATGAGACACGTCAGTACAGCAGAGGGGCAGGTCCTGGGAGGGCCAAAGTAAGGGTTAGGCCTGTGGCCAGGTTGGATCTCATTGACACCATTGATGACTCCTTGGGAACAGATGCATTCAGACTAGAAGCAGAGACAGAATGCTGTTGTGTCAGAGTCTGAAAGTCCCAGAAAGGAAGAAACACGGAGTAGGACAGAGAGGCTGTAGGCCTGAGGAGGTAGAAAACAGTCATCCTTTACTACCCACTCAGCATTACTGACTGCAGCTAGATGAGGGGTCCTTCCAATCTTGGGACATAGTTTTGTGTCAGGGAGTGATCTGACAGTTTGGGAGACAGCTGGAGTGGAGGCAAAGAGATAGGATAGGGAACTGGCATTTATGGGCAATAGTCAGGGAAGGGTTCTCTAGCGAGATATGTTTGAGCAGAATCTGGCAGAAGCGGAAGAGGGAGCATGAGGACCACATGGATAGTGCTCCAGGCAGGGCAGACCCTGAGGTGGGTGCATCTTTGTTGCCTGGTAACAGCGGGAGTGATGGGGGAAGGTAGAGTTGAGGGCTGAGAGGGCCTGGGTCACATGGTCCCCAGAGGCACTAGGAGAATATTCGATTGTGTGACAGTGCAGTGTCTGACATCACCAGGATAGGATGTCTGTGGGCAGGAGGGGATGTTGGGGGCTAGGGAAGTTGCTCAGTATCCAGATGGCAGTGTGGCCTGGGTTGTCAATTTAAATGAAGAATTTCGAGATCTTTATTTGAGTGAGAGATCCAGTGGCATGAGGGTTTCTTTGTTCTTCAGGTGTGAAGAAAGAGAGAGATGCCAAAGCCTTTCTTCTGATGGGACAAGAAGCTTTGTGCATATTTTTATTTTCAGGAAGATGGATGCAATGACTTGCACATTGTTACCAGGGCCAGACTTGTTCAGCAAACATCAGTCAGAATTGTAGGTTCTAAGGGGTACAGGTAGCTTTGACAGGGCAGAGCAGTCTCTGAAACCTCCTCTGTTGATTGGGCCAGAATCTGACATTCCACGCAGGCCCACAATGTACAGGGCAGGTTGGGCAATGCTTTTATATGATTGACAGCCTGCCAGACCCTCAGAGCCAGCTGGACTTCTTTGTGCCTGTGATGGAGGCCAATCGCCACACTTGTGTCTCCTAAGACCAAGCCTGAATGCCATTAGCTGGCACTGAGAGAACCAAAAGCAGGCCTGTAAGCTCATACCTGGCAATGTGGAGGAAAAAAAAGGGTAAAATATGTAATAATGTAAGGAGATGCATGGGATGTTTTCCTGGTACAGATGGGAGGGGTGAGAAGCACCTGGATTTGGGATACAATCTAAGATAGAGCTGGCAGGACTTGCTGATAGTTTGCTGTGGGTGTCAGGGAAGCAGGGGAGTCAAGGGATACCCAGGATTTGGGCCTGAGCCAGAAGGTTGACCGCAGGAGCATTTCGTGAAGTGTGGAGTCCTGGAGAGGGTGGGTTGAGGGTCTGACAAGAGCTCTCACTCTTCAGCTCCTGTGCAACCTTATCACCTAAGCACCTCTCTACCTCCCATCCCCCCAATCTGGACTGCCACCCCTGTGGATTCTCTGTTCCCCTTGCCCCCTCCATGGGTGGAGGGATTGACAACTCTGCAGACTTACCATCTGTGGGTCCTGTTCCTCCACAGCATTTCCTTCCAAGTGACTTTATATTTATTGTTTCAGATTGTGACACTAGGACTGAGGATAAGCAATTTCTTCAGGAGGAAGATGTTCCTGAGTATTTGGAATCACAGGCAGAAATATCAGGAAACTATGCTGGTGATGTTTCTCAGGTGCCTGAGCTTGGAGATCTGTGTGATGATGGATCAGAAAGAGACTGGGGAGTCCCTGAAGGCGAAAGACTGATACAGTCCCTTTCTCAGGAGGATTTCACACCAGTGACAGTACTCCTTAGGAGCCCCTTACAGAAGAAAGATCTGGACTGTAACAGTTTTGACAGTCTGAGCCCAAAGCCAATGGCATGTCAGGGAGTCCTTATAGAAGAGAGGCCACATCCATATGACATGAGTGGCCAGAGCTTCCAGCACAGTGTGGGCCTAACTGACTGTGAGGGAGTTCCCACAACTGAAAGTCCACTCATATGTAACGAGTGTGGAAAAACCTTCAGAGGAAACCCTGACCTTATTCGGCATCAGATAGTCCACACTGGAGAGACATCCTTTATGTGTAATGAATGTGGGAAATCCTCCAGCCAAAACTCAATTCTTAAAAACCATCATCAGTCTCATGTGAGTAAGAAAGCCTACCAGTGCACTGAGTGCAGGAAAACCTTTCATGGGCACTCAGAACTTGTGAGGCATCAGAGTCACCACAGTAGTGAGAGGCCTTATGTATGTAATGAATGTGGAAAAGCCTTCAGCCAGAATTCAAGCCTTAAAAAGCACCAAAAGTCTCACATGAGTGAGAAGCCCTACGAATGCAATGAATGCGGGAAGGCTTTTAGGCGGAGCTCAAACCTCATCCAACATCAAAGAATCCATTCTGGGGAGAAGCCGTATGTGTGCAGTGAGTGTGGGAAAGCCTTCAGACGGAGCTCAAACCTCATCAAACACCACAGGACTCACACAGGTGAGAAGCCTTTTGAGTGTGGTGAGTGTGGAAAAGCCTTCAGCCAGAGCGCACATCTAAGGAAGCACCAGAGAGTTCACACTGGAGAGAAGCCTTATGAGTGTAATGATTGTGGCAAGCCATTTAGTCGGGTCTCTAACCTCATTAAACACCACAGGGTTCACACTGGAGAGAAACCATATAAGTGCAATGATTGTGGGAAAGCATTTAGTCAGAGCTCGAGCCTTATTCAGCATCGGAGAATTCACACTGGAGAAAAGCCTCATGTGTGTAACGTGTGTGGAAAAGCCTTTAGTTATAGCTCAGTGCTCAGAAAGCACCAGATAATCCACACAGGAGAGAAACCGTATGGATGCAGCATCTGTGGGAAGGCTTTCAGCCACAGCTCAGCCCTCATTCAACACCAGGGGGTACACACAGGTGACAAGCCCTATGAGTGCCGTGAATGTGGGAAGACCTTCGGTCGCAGTTCTAACCTCATCCTTCACCAGCGAGTCCACACTGGAGAGAAACCCTATGAATGTACTGAATGTGGAAAAACCTTCAGCCAGAGCTCAACCCTCATTCAGCATCAGAGAATTCATAATGGTCTGAAGCCCCATGAATGTAGCCAGTGTGGTAAAGCCTTCAACCGAAGCTCAAATCTCATTCACCACCAGAAAGTTCATACTGGGGAGAAACCCTACATGTGCATTGAATGTGGTAAAGGCTTCAGCCAGAGCTCACATCTTATTCAACATCAGATCATTCACACTGGTGAGCGGCCCTACAAATGCAGTGAGTGTGGGAAAGCCTTCAGTCAGCGTTCAGTCCTCATCCAGCACCAGAGGATTCACACTGGGGTGAAGCCCTATGACTGCACTGCTTGTGGGAAAGCCTTCAGCCAGCGATCAAAGTTAATTAAGCACCAGTTGATTCATACCAGGGCGTAGCCTGTCGAGCTGATTGGAGTGAAACTGAGCATGGTTCCTCTTCAACTCCTCTCTGGCCATTGTCACAGCCTGTCTCACTTCTCAAACCTGAAGCCCAGGCTCACTCCCTCCTCTCTACCACACACTCAGCAACCCCGTGGCATGGAACTCTGCCTTGAAAATTCTTTACAGGCTCCCTTCCCATTGCCATTACTCCTGCCTCATGTGACCTCCTGGGTTTTGTTTTGTTTTTATAGTTTGTGAACAGACTGCACATTTGTTAGGGAAAAGCTCCATATTCATGAGTAGAGTTTATTATTGTAATCAAAAATTATCAAAAAGTAAAGTGACATTTGATTTGAGACAACCACAGTAATTATTTTGTTTGGTAATTAGTCATAAGGTATGAGTTCTTTGTCAGTGGCTGCATCTGTATTTTCACATAAAATCAAGTCAAGAGTTTTTCAGGTCTGATTGCTGTATCATTCTCTCCAGAAGTGGTACATACTCATAACCATTAGTTTCCCACCCTTCCTTTTCCCTCTCATTCCAGAACTTGGACCCAAGACTTCCCCACTGCTCTACTTTTCTTATGCATGTCTGAGGTCAGCTTTCTCCCCCTCCCTGCTCTGCTATGAATCAGGCCTCTATGCCCCACTCATGGCTGCTGCATGGTTCCATATAGGTGCTTCTCAGCTTCTAGTTTCTGGCTGCAGAGGAAGCTGTCTCCACACCTCAATTTTTTACTCCCAACCTTCCAGGCTTAGTCTTTTCCCAGAAGCATTCATCACTAGATATTTATGGAGCACCTACTAGGTGCCCTACCCTTGGAGCCCAACTCACCTACCCCTATCCTCAGTTTTCCAGCTCTTGTGCCCCTGTCCCCTGACCAGAGAAAACTCAGCCCAGATTCAACATGTCTGTCACCAAGGAGGCACCTCAACACCATCCAACAAGTCTGGGGTTGTCTAGATGCAGTTTTGCAAAAAACTCGGCCCAGACCTGTTTTAGTAAATAAAGTTTTGTTGGAACACAGCCATACACATTTGTGTACAGATAGCGACAGCAGATTTTGCATGGCAGAATTGAGTATTTGTAATAGATACCATATGGCCCACAAAAGCAGAGCATTTACTTTCTGGCCCTTTATAGGAAAATTTTGCTGATTCTGCCTTAGGACACCACCCTGTGATCTCAGGATGCTGTTGGGGGCTGGATTTGCCCAGGAGCTTAGAGTTCTTGCAGAAATTTAGGTGCATTTTGTGACCAGGGCACTATGTGCTGTGGAATGATTGCCTGTGATTGCTGTGGAGTGATTGCGGGTGGTTGCTAGGCAGTTGTCACAGCCACAGAGGATTCAACCCCTTACCCATCCCCAAAATACAGACATCGGACCTGTGTGTTGGCCACAGTTTTTACTGCAGTCAGGAGTTTTGTGACGATTAAATAAACTGATCTGTATAAAGTGCTTTAAACTGTGCCTAGTCCTTGGTGATCTTTAGGTATCACTAACATTCACAGAAAAATACTTATCTCACAGAATCACTAGGAGAGCTGAAGAAAGACTGGGGGCCAGGCTTCCAGGAAAGATTCCAGAACCATCCCATGGAACTGCCCGGCCAGGGGAGCTGCTGTCCACTTGGAAATCCCGCTACTCTGCTAGGACCTGGGCCAGAAGGCAGATGTCAAACTTCCCTGTTTAACTCTGCTTTGACTTAAAGTCTCATGCAAATAGATCTGAGCACCAGAACTAACTCTCTTTCCACTAGCAACAAGGAAAGGTGGAAAGTGCAGATTCTATCTGCCTTCTATGTTAGAAAGGCTGTAGAGAGCTTCCAAAATGTGAAGGAAGTTTTATGAGATTTTGAATAGTCATAAATGACACATGTCTGCTGTAACTTACATGCTTGTAATTTTTTTCTTTTTTTTTTTGAGTTGGAGTCTCACTCTGTCACCCAGACTGGAGTGCAGTGGTCACTCCCGGCCTCGACCTGCTGGGCTCCGGCGATCCTTCCGCCTCAACCTTCCGAGTAGCTGGAATTATAGGCGCGTGCTACCATGCTGGCTAATTTTTTGATTTATTGTAGAGATGAGGTCTCGCTGTCCAGGCAGGTCCAGTGTTTCCTGATTATTTTGGCAGGAACTACAAAAGAGATGTGTCCATGGTGTGTTGTATCAGGAGGTCCGTGATTTTTTTGTCCCTTTCAAATGATGTTAATTTTTATCACTCAGCTAAGATTGTGATTGCCTGGTTTCTCCATAGTAAAGTTACTATTTTCCTCCTTTTTAATGTAAATATTTTGGGAGGAGATACCTTGAATCTATGTAGACAACCTGTTTCTCATCAATTTCTTACCCACTGTTTAGATCCATATATGATTCTTGCTTCTAATTCTGTTACTATAAGGATGAGTTTTATGTTCTACATTTATTTATTGATTTATATGGTATGGACTCATTGATTCCTATTTATTCAGTGGATTACAATTTGTTATTATTTATTATGATGCTCAGATTGTCCCAGGTTTGGCCAGGGGAGTTTGTTCAAGCTGGCTTCCATGTCCTTTTGACATCTCTATCATTTTTTAGCACTTCCTTTGCTTTCTGGTACAGCAAATTTTTTCAAGCACATCTTGTACTTTTCCTGCTCCAATTGTGGAATAAGTCCTGAGGAACCCTGTCTGATCCCTTTTTGTGGAGAATGATTTTTAGAAAGCAAATTGGGTGCTGGATGTGTTCATTGTTACTGGGGGTGTCACTGCTTCCAGGCCCTCTCAGCAGAGAGCTAGGAAATAAGTGTATGTGTATCAATGTGTACATACCATCTTGTACCAATTTCCATACTTATATATATAAGAACCATGAGTTTCTACCAGTGCCATCAATTTTAGTCCAGTACTTCTGTCCCTCTTTCCATACTGGTAAAACTCCCACCCTCCTTTTTTTTTTTTTTTAGCAAAAATATGTTTTCCATTATCCTCAAGAGATTTGCTCAGTCCTGGAATATACCAAGCGTAGTTTCAGTATTGCTAATCCATAGCTACTGTGTAAAAACAATCTATTGATTACTCAATATCTATTGATTTTTCCACTTTGACTTGAAAATATATAGTCAAAATACTGTGTACAAAAGATACTTGAGTCTTGGTTTGTCTTTTTTTTTTTTTTTTCTGTTTTCATGGTGGCTATTCATGTGTAACAATCAGTTGTATTTGTTTCTGTTGTGTTCCATGTTAGCAGTTTCCCTTATCCTTGTTGATTTCCATTTTTTCTATAGGTAAGTGACCTCCCTTTTTAAACCATAAAATTCTTCAGAGGGACATTAGAAAAAGAGAGATGTGACTAAAAAATGGTTTATCTTGTTAATTCATAGGAAGAGTCAATATCTAGTAGATGAAAATTTTTCCTAAGTTCTATGAATTCATTGCAGCCCCAGTCAAAATTCAAATAGGAAAAAAACTAATTCAAATTATCTCAAAGTTCACCCAGAAGAACACATGTAAGTAGCAGATGTCCTCACGTTTGTTTGGTAACATAAAGACATCCACCTAGCCGGATGTGGTGGCTCACGCCTATAATCCCAGCACTTTGGAGGCTGAGGTGCGAGGATTGCCTGAACCTATGGATTTGAGACCAGCCTGGTCACCTTGGTGAGATGTCATCTCTACAATAAATCAAAAAAATTAGCTGGGCACAGCAGCACGTGCCTGTAATTCCAGCTGCTTGGAAGGCAGAGGCGGAAGGATTGCCTGAGCCCAGTGGGTTGAGGCTTCAGTGGCCATCAGCATGCTACTGCACTCCAGCCTGGGCAACAGTGAGACTCCAACTCAAAAAAAAAAAAAAGACATCCACTCAACTAGCATAAATTCGAAGGAGAATTTCATGGAAGGCTACAAGCATGTCTTAGATAACAGGAAGGGAATTGCTGTCAGGAACAACTGGAAGCTCTGTTCCTCTGTATCCATTTCATTCTTTTCTCTTTAGAGGTGGCAAGAAAATGGCTACCCCAAATTTGCTCCCTGGTTCACCTGTCCTCACATGTCTTGGGACAGGATGAATTTGTGAAAGTTGCTGTGTCTTCCCTTCCTCTAGGAGAAAGTCTGACAACTTCAGACAAGTCACCCAGTCCAGTCATCTTTCTAGGATGGCAGAGCATGGGATTTCAGCCAGCAGACCAGTGTCAATGGGTGGAAGTCAGTATTTTTCTTTTGAGCATGTTAAGCTTGAGGTGTCTGTGAGAATACTAGTGGAGAACTTGAAGTCTCAGTTGACTATGACGCTGGAGCTTAGAGACAGACTTAGGATGGAGATGTAAACTTGGGAGTCAGAATTTTTTTAATGGGTATGCATCCCTGGAAAAGCATGAGACACCCTGGGAAGAGAATGAGAAGGATGACTTAAGGCAGAGGCCCAAGACTTCCCAATTTTGAGCATTCAGTTGGAGGAGGAGAAGTTTCAACGGTACCTAAAGGGAAGAGAGGAGCAAAGGTGCCAAGAGGGGGAAATCACTTGCATCAAATGCTGTGGGGAAGGGAATTGAGACTTGGTTTCAGAAAGGTGGATGATTGTCCTGCCAGAGCTTATCTCAGTACAGCAGAGGGGCACAAGACAGATCGTGTGTGAGGAGGATCAGAGGGTCTGCATAGTCAAGGAGATCAGAGGTGGGGGTAGAAGAGAATGGTGGAGCTAGGAGAGAAGGAGAAGGAACAAAAGACCCCCAGAAGCTAAGGACATGGTCTTGCATAGATAGGCACCTCCTGCTTTGAGGCAGGAAGAAAGGAGAAAACAGGACAAATATAGTCGGTTTGTAAGTATGGTGGGAAGGCTTTCACCTTTCCTGTTTTCAAGGATGCAGGCGACAAGGGCGGCAGTTGCAAATTGGGAGGGAGAGGTTCTAGGAGGTTTGAAGAGAGAAGAAAGTGTGGAAGAGTTGACCCAAGGATGGGAAGGTTAGTCCCTTGGGCTTGAGCATGCCCTCATCTCAAGAGGCCAACACTCCTCACCCACCCAGGCGTTATCTTCCACTCACCTTTCAGGTTTCATCATCAAGTCCACTGCAGGCTACTTTCCCAAGACAATACCTCTGGAATTTCAACAGCACATGGCCCTCTTCTACTCCCTGTCAAGTCTTTGAACATCAAAGAGGCCAATTTGTTGACCACATGCCTCCTCAATCAGGTCCCTCTCTGACTTCACGTTTCTCCTGTCCAGCCTGGATTTTATTTCTCTTTGTTAGTAAATACTTTCTGAATGTTTTCTATATGCGAGGCACACTGCTGAGGCACAGGGATATAGCAGAAACAAGACAGGCAGAAGTGCCTGCCCAGATGGAGTTTATGTTCCAATGGGGAAAGAAAATGACCTAATGGTGATGTTTGCCAAGAAGCAAAACTAAGGCAGGAATTGGGGTCCAGGTGCTTTTTTGAGGGGTTTAGTTTTACATGAGGATGGTCAGGGAAGGTGTCGCTGAAATGGCATTTGAGCAATGACATGAAGAAAGAGAGAGAGTGGCCAATGAAAATGAAAGGATATCCATGTATTGGCAGAGAGAGTAGTGAGTGGGATGGCCTTGAGGCAAAGGGGCCTGAAGTGTTTCAGGTCAGCATGACTAGGAGTGGGATAACCAAGGGAGAGGCAGGGGAAGTAAGAGAGGCCATGGGGCATGTCATGAAGGTCTGTGGCCATCACAAGGACTTGGGCTTTTGCTCTGGGTAAAGAGGATAGATACTGGAGGATTTTGAGCAGAAGAACATACCTGCCTTGTGTCAGAATAACACCACACTGCTGTGTGGAGAAGAGACCGCGGGGGCAAGAGTATGTTCCTTACTGTGTTCATTCTTCTAACTCTGTTTGCTCCGTGAGTCTGTCCTTCCTCTTGCCTCAATACTGGGGGATGGCCTCCAGGAGACCCACTGCAACTGAGGCACAGGGAAACACTAATGAATGCAGTAGACTATGCAAAGGCCACAGGAAGACACCACCCACAAGTGAGTGACCAGCTCCTCCTGGACTTTGGCACTGCCTAGTATTTGACCAGAATTGACATGTCGGGGCATTCCATCTGAAACCTGGGGAATTTTATTCTCAGTACATCATGTTTCTTCCTTTTTTACTTTCATGAAGTCCTTGGAAATGTGTTTCTTGGGGAACAAATACTGAATCCATATAACAGAGAAACCCTAAGTTAAGTATTTACTGACTCCATAAGCCTGGGGTGCCTCTGTTTTTCATGGGCTGGCAGGGGTCATGGAAAGTGAAATAAAGGCCCTTTTTCTTTTCTTTTAATATTGGTAGATCATTTTTCTCAAGAAACCCTTAATTATTTAGCCAGGTGCTTAGTTAATATCATAATTACTTAATTACTGGGCTTTCATGATAAGGAAACAGAATTTGGGGAAAGAAGGAAAAGTGAAAAGAAAGAGGCATGGGAGAGAAAACATATCATCTGCTGGGACTGGTGATCTGAGCACTGACC